TAATGAGAGGGACATGGAAACAAAAAGGCTGCTAATAATTAAATTCAGCAGCCAGTTTTGAGGCGTAGTAATTCCTGAGGAGAAATTACATGACTAATTATTAATATGATATTCACACCGTTCTGTAGATCGACTTGCATAAGTGCTTGTCCTGGTGTCAGTTATGCTGAGACGCATAATGCCTTCTTCACTGCCCCCTATGACTACAAGGTCTCACATGGATTTTAGTGCACAATTAATCATGCTGGCACTCGCGATTAAATGCTTTTTATTGGTCCCCATTTATTAGGCCATATTACCTGAGTTGGTTTAAGGTCTGTTCCAGAGTGTCAGTGAGATGCAGACATAAACAGAGGGATGGCTGAACAGCAGGCATTTGGAGGCACTTGAAGGTGTTGGTTGACTTTCAGCACTTTGATTACCCAAAAAAAGCTAACCTTTGCAAAAACTAATTTCAGGTCAGTGTTAGCTAAATGGATAAGCAGGTGTCAAGTCAGATTATGGTTACAAACTTGAAGTCAGCATTGCTAATGCTCGAAAAAAAAAACGTAAAGAAAGCTGGCACATTTTTTGCTATTTCTGAAGGTGAACTGTGTTTGTACTGAAATGTGACTCTACAGATGAGTGTAAGAATAAGACAAAGAATACAAATACAAAAGGCACAAAAAAGCTCTCAAATTTGCCTCTTGATTATTTTCCCTGCAGTTCTGAACTCTGCTGAACCACGAATCTCACAACAAACATGAACTCGGCATAGTTACACCCCTACTACACACATTAATTAAACTTTATTTAAATTAATATTAATATTAATATTATAACATTTATTTCTCCTGATTGTTTCAAAGCTAAGTTTAAAAAAATTAGCTGTCAAAACACTTTAATAGTTAAAGTACACACAAAAAGTTAAGCTCTCAGAAAGAGTCGTTTGTTGTGCATGCAGTTCAGTGATAGGAAATGACTTGATTTTGTTTGCAAGAAGCTACAACAATTATGATGAGTGGCAGAGGACAAATATCACAGCTTGAGGTACGCTGTTATCAGGTAATTGCTGGAGCAACATTTGGTGTCACCTCACACAAATGCACCAGTTTGGCAGATGAGATGAATATGACAGATAAACATTGACCTTATCATTCTAAACTTCTAAACGTTGCCAGGTATATGAAAATTACCATTTTTTAATCCCCACCCCACAAGACTTTTTCTGTGCATGTTTCCCTTATTACACCCTTATGGAGTTCAAGTCAAAATATAACCATTTTAAAGCAACTGCTTGTCATTCCTTTATCTTTCTTTATCTGGCAACCCTGTGAAACTACAGCAGATTCAATGAGCACTGCAGGATGTAAACATGCTTATTGGATACAAACATTGAAAAAACAGTTTTCACCGTCTTTTATCCACCTGTCTCTTAGTTTAGATCTGTAGGAGCAAGGTTTTATGGAAATGTTAAGAACATTTATCCTCTTAAGCCAAGACCAAAGTGGATTGCTGCCATCTTTCAACAATGTCAAAATTCTGTTTCAATTCATGTAAACTCTGTTTTGTAAACTTTTGCACTGACAGTAATTTTGCGTTATATGGTTATTGGCACTGATTTTTGTGGTTATTTTCGAGTATAAATAATGGCAGCAGCAGCTGGCTTACTACATTTTTGCCTGAATAACTGTACTTTGAATGTGTTTGCGAAAATGTTTAAAATAATGCTTTCATGAGGTTCTTTGGGAGTGGAGTTGTGTTTAGAAAGCAGCAATTCACTTTAGTCCTGGCTATGTTCAAGTTAGTCATTAAACTTGTCCGTTTGGTCAGAAATAAACTTTTTTTTTCTCTAAACTGAGGGCGTCCTAAAAGCTACAGGCAAAACATTGTTCATGACCTTTTTATTAAACTCCAATCAAATATTTATTTAAATTTTGCTGGTCCACCTTGTGGCTTTTGTCATTGAAACCTCCTTGAATTTCTCAGAACTGCCTCCTTCAATGTCTGCATTTGGGTCCTGCTGCAATGTGCCATCCACCAAACGTGACAGTTTGTGAAACATTGGTGAATTTGTCATTTCTGGGTGACTTTGTGCCTAATCAGAGTCTCTGAGGCTCAATATGAAAGGGAAAACATAGTTGGAAACAACTCGGGAATAGTCTTTGTTTTATTGTGTCTTTGATTAAAATTATTCCACATGTGGCCCTTCCTATCCTAGTTGTCACGACAACTGTCTGCTCTGCTGAAAGTTAATTATTTGGGATTGTAATAGCTTTGGTTTAGGCAGAGGAAAGGGACATTTCCCCAGCTGATAAGCCTGTTAACTCTCCGTCTGTGCCCACAGTAGGTGTGACCAGTAAAGAGTTTTCCCTGATATGCAGCAGTACTTGACATTTCATTGGATTCTTCCTGAGTTTTCCAATCTAATAGCATAAACCTCAACTCCAGATTCAATGGGTTTGATAGAAATGTAATTGCATTTTTTTTTTTTTTTGCGTGTGTGCATGCGGTCTGTGTAGATTTCCTCCCATCTACAATCCCGACGCCTTGTCCCAGATGAAGTGCCTGCCGCCGAATGGGTCAGAGTCAACAACATTATTTTCAAGTGCAAGACCCTCAAGGGTCTACTAATCAACATCACAATTCATCAGTTCTATTACCACTATCCTTCAAAAATAAATCTGCCCATATATTAACTACAGTGCTGCTTGAAGAACCCTCAATCAGATGCATTTCAGACACATAAATATATATTTTCCTCCGCATGTTAGACACGCTTTCTGTGGTCCTTGCATCACACCAAATGTGTCAGAGAGACCCCGAACAATGATGTTCCAGAGCCCCTCGCCTTTCAGAGACACACAAATACRTCTGGTCTCAATTAGTGTGACGTTTTCCTTTTGCTTTATTTGCACCGTTAATTAGCTGTGGATTGACAGGACTTTTTCAGATTTCTTCGTGCAGACACGTGTTCAAGACAACTTTGCTTCTGTTACTGAACAAGTGTGTGTCTGTTAACTTCCAGCAGGAGACACRTGGAGGTGCTCAACAATAAGGAGACGTTAAATGCAACAATGCTTTTGTTTCAGTATTTTTTTTCTTTAATGCTTTCTGTATGATTTATTGTGGCACTTGTTGTTTGTGCTTAGCAATGCAAATGTTGAGCATTGCTGTGGCATATATCACGCTCCAATTAAAACATTCCGATAGAAGTGGCACGTTGTGATTGGCCATTGTGTAAATAACTCAGAAAGAAACATTGCCGTGATTTATAACACCCTGCGTAGCTACGATATAGATGAGGACCGACAAAGAAAAACTGTTTGTTTCCTAACTTTTTTGTTTTTAATATTATGTGTGATACCCCCCTCCCTACTTTTACCTTCCCTGTGGGGGACACATAGTGTGTTTATTGTTTACACGAGTTGTAAACTCACCTTTTTATTGTTGTTGTGTACGCTGCTACTCTAGTTTTTTTTGGTTCTGACGGCCCTCCGTAGAGACCAGGCGCATTTCCCTGATGTATAAGATGAAAGACACGACAAAATGCCCCCATCATTTGGTCCCAGTTGGTTAAGTGTGTTCTGATCACTGCCAAGGTCTGAATGAGCACGAGCCGCACAAAAGACCGCCGTGCCTTCCAACCACACCAGCTCGTGAAATAAAGGGATTTGCATCGGTTAGAGCTGCATCTTATGCAGCAAGTCCCAAAGGAGAGACGGGTCGGTGTGATTGGAGGACACAGGGCCTCACTTCACATTTATCCGTTTGTTTAAAACTTTGGCTTTACATTTTATTTTTTAATTCAAATATTTAAATAACATATCAAAAGTAAGGTGTTTCTTGTCAACATTTTTTTCTGCAAAAAACAGTAGCAACACGAATGTAAACAGAAAGGTTAAAGGTAATAGGTTAAATGTACAACTTTGACCTCAAGTGGATAGAATTTCACTTAAAGTGACCTTGTACATTGATCTTTTCCCCACTTCCCCCCGTTAATGTGTCTCCTGTCATCAGCAGTGGATCATGTCAGTGCTTAATGGCACAGTTCAAGGGAGTGAGACCTCCCACCYCCCGACCCTTTTAACTTGCTATATCTTTATTAATATCCCTTCATCTTGTGATCTTTTGCWCATTATGCGTTTTGCACTGCTTTATGGTTATTCATCACAAAGACTTCCACCTCATTTTTATCCTCTGGAATGAAGCCTCTTTGTATGCGACTGACCTGTGATAATACCTTTTTTTTTTTACCTCACCCCCTTTTGCATCAAAACTCTTTAATCTTCCAGCTTCTTGATGAAAGTTCACTCTTCTGTTGAGTTTCTGGTTAATATGTCATGATCTCACTTTGCTCAATATTGCATTATTCCCTCATTTTTGGCAAGAAGTCAGAATTTCCATAATTATTTTCATGTGAAACATATTCATTGTGAGCTTATTCATTTATATATATATATATATATAT